CCTTCCCCTGTCCCCCCAAAGACTTACCATCTGGATGCTGCTGTCCAAGCTGGCAGGCTGAATTCCTGGCCGCCTGCATGCTGTGGCTGAGCACATTCATGAGGCATTTATTGGTGACATTATCAGCCAAAAAAAGAGATGATGGCTGACAACGTTAATTTTCATTTTATTAATGCTGATCCTATATGGACCGATATATTGGTGCACCTCTATATTGTACACTTGTAAAGCTGGGACAAATGCTTGATGTCCCCTTTCTTTGCATGTGTTAGATGTCCACTCTTTATGGCCCACCATACTTGCTTTTCCCCTGCTCTATGTATCTCTTGTGGTTCAGATGATTTAATACGGACTCCATGAATATTAATATTACTGTGTTACCTGATGGGGCTGTTTGCATCATATTATAGCGTGGTGTATGTGCACACACCTTGTCATTTTTTTCTTACAAACCTAAAAGTTATTAGAAAATTCTGCAATTCTCTAGACTTAACAGTAATAGGAAACTTTTAAAGTTCTGTTTAAAAAAACAAAAATTTCCAATGCTACGATACAAAAAGAAACCCTTCTCATGACAACACACCCCACAAAAAATCATCAAACAATTACAGTCCATACTCAACAAAGATCAGACCTTGAAATATTCCCAGCTTTCAAATAACTACCTTATTTTGTACAACTCATTGTCAGAACCAAACTCTCCTCACCACTACTCAACAGACATGTGGGACAGCTTTGCCTTAGAAAAAAATGCTTAACTTGTCAACACATCTCCACTGTTACTATAATCAATACCTCCCATAACAAAACCATCAGAATCTATGGTTCCTACAACTGCCCCTCCAAAACTGCAATACATATGATGTAATGCATCAAATGGCTTCAGGGTAACTATATGAGTAAAACTAAACAGCAAGTATAAGTCTGATTCAGACTATTTGAATGAACTCTCACAGGAAAAATATAAAGGACAGAGAAACACACACCATTAGGAATACATTTCTCACAGAACATCCATTTCTTTTCTGACCTCACTATCCTTGTGCTCAAAGGAAATCCACTTAACACCTTTAAAAGCTGAACTTAGGAACAAAAATGCATAAACTGGACACTAAGAACTAAGGATTTAACATTGACATTGGTTTTATGGAACATTATAACTTACCTGATTCCTGAATTCTCTTCATGAATAGAAGATAAGAAAAACCCTCTTCCTTTTTTGATAGGCTTGATCTCCCAATAATCAGCTTTTCTTCTGCTGATTTGTTTGTCTGGGAATTTCATTCCTCTTGCAACTGTTTTTTACTCAGCTGTGTTGGCTTTCACTGCTCAGACCTAAGGAATAATGTCATGTATTTGAAAGCTTGTCTAATTCTCTCTCAAATACACAGTGTGTCCTCTAAAAGATGTCACCATAGGAAATCCTTGCCTCTTGCATAACTCCTGGACCAGGATACAATGTCACTCTAACACTAACAATATAAAAGAAACATCACTCAGCTCTTGCAGCCCAATATTGCAATGCTCTTGTGCATGAGAATCAGAAAGGGCCTTGTTACAAGGTAATTGGGGCAGGGTCTGGGAACTCTTAACCCCTGGACTGTCTGCACATTAACACCTTAAAGTGGTTTTAACCACTTGTTATAAGGCTCTAAATTAAAGCACTCTAGGGCACAATTATCTCAGATCTGCACTATCTAGATCCTGTTCCACTAAGGTGCGGCCACACGGCCACTCCCCACAGACCTTCAGCTCAAATTGGAAGTCCTCCAGCACCCCAGGATCTCTCACAGCCCTGCACACAGAGCAGGGATAGAAGCCTGTCCTGGCTCACCAGCCCTCCAGTGGCAGCTGACAGCTACAGCTCCTAGTCCTGCCCCTGCTCACCAGGCCTCCAGGGGCAAGTCCCAGCTGTGCAGGTGGGGGACAGCAAGATGTTTCTAGACTAAGGGTGTGACTGCTCCAAACTCCAAGCTAGCAATTACACCGATCAACATTTGTGCGGCTCACGGCATATGGCGTAACAAGGCCCAAAGTGAAGCTGACCATGAAAAAGTGAAAAGCAGGCTTTCAAGAAATAAGCATCATAAATAGTAAACACCAAATTTCACTGGATATTTCATTTGTACTAATTTGGAGTATTTTTAATAAAGCATCTGGACCCAATACTTAGAGCTGTATGTGTGGAAGAATTTCTGCACTTCCATGGAGTCTTAAATGGGGGTATTGTTTGAGGATTTTTTTATATGAATACATGTAGTATTTAACACTTTTATCTGTTATTTTGTTTCTTACTATAAACTGCTCAGAGCCTTTTTTGGAAAGCTGGTATACAAATCTAATAAATAAATAAAGAGTAACAGGGTAAAAGCTTTTGCATATAACAGCTTACAGCAGAGGCAACCTTTTCAAGTGATGGATATGGCCAGAGTGTTGTGTTGTAACTTGTTTCCTTTTGCTGCCTCAGTTGAAACCACCATGTCACAAATCAAACATACACTGAGGTCAGAAGATCTGAGACTCTAAAGCCAGCAGAGATTTAGGAGAATAGAAAACAAGCAGCCCTCAGTATACTGAGAAAATAGGGGTAGGAATAGCAGTGGGTGATATTTGCAGTAAGGACCTATTCTTTTCCTGAGAGAGAGAGATCAGTTATGGGAGAAGGTGGTGGGCATAAACCTCGAAAAAAATCCTTCTTGTTATTAGAAATGAAGCAATTTAGAGATTTATCCCAGGAAAAATGCATTTACTGCATATCAAACAATTTACTTCTTTCCTCATCCAGACTTTTTTTTTCCAGAGGCATTTTTCATAATAAAACAGTATTTTTGGCTTTTAAATGTTTATTTTAGATTGATGTTCAGATTTATGAATAGCAATAAAAAGGAATGCAGAATAATACACACAAATGAAAGAGGTTAAAGTTAAAAAAAAATTTATTTTCAATACTTTGCAGTACAATGCATCTTCAACATCATACTGTCACATTGCCATGAGCAGTTTCCAGCCCATAAACAAAATCTTAAGAATCTTTCCTTTATCATAAATGAGGATGGGTTAGTCTGCTCCTTACAGTATAAAATAGCAAAGATGATCCTGCAAAGATCACAATTTAAAAAGACAAATGAAGGACAAAATGAGGTTAGGAATGATTTTTTTTAACTGAACATAAAAACAAATATTGAACTACCCTGCTTACAGAAAAGGTACCCACATTGCCTGGTATTTATAGATAGTTTCATACGCATTGATTACAGAGGAGTAAAAGAAAAAAGAGCAATCAATCCTGTTAGCTGCAGGCCACCAAACCTTGTATATGATAATGCTTTCACACCTGGAATGTTCCTGGTCTCATGCTTATTCAGTGTACAAACACACTGTACTCACCAATGCTAAAGAGAAAAAAATTGATAAAAGTTATGGGGGACATAAATATGTCTTTAGATGCTGCAGCACACTGATATACAACACTATTAATGGACTGTTCCATACCAAGGTTAAGATATAACTGCAAAAAATCTATCCCTATTTAAAAAAAAAAATCAGCCAAATAAAAGTAATTTTCATTTTTAGGTGTCCACACCATTGGAATGATAGAAAACAAGATATAGCAGCATACTTTAAAAAAACCCTGAGACAGACTCTATCTCCCATACGCACACAAAATATTAACAATTCAAATTACTTAATTAAATAGAAAAGAAGTCAGATTATTTGGTGATATGTATTTAAGAGAAAGGCCAGCAGATATCAAATGGAAGGCAGCGTGTTGAACATCACAAGGCAGACAAAAAGAAACAGCCCCACATACTGTGCTGCCTATTGCTTCATCCTTTGATGCATTAGACCATTGTGACTGTCATAGACCGTACACCAGATCTGACAAGTTGTGTATTATAACAGAATTATGCTAGGTAGCAGCTCAGAACAAGTGAAGGCTGTCCTGCTCAGTGAAACTGAAAACATCAATATGTAAGAAGGCCAAGACAGCCTTTGTACTTCTTGTACAAAGTGTCATGATAAAAGTAAAAGTAGATACAATTGGACTGTCTGCTTTAATTTATTACTATTTGTGAGATCCCCCTCTACAGTAGCTCTGGTCTAAAATATTTCCACTGGTGAGAACCTTCCTGTAGAGCAGCTGCCAGTTATTTGTTCTTGTCCACCACCATTCAGAGCTGGCCTAGATACTACAGCAGTAAAATTACTGGACTTTGACAAGTTAGCATGAATACTACTGAGCTTTTACTGACATTGGTGCAGTGCTGTCAAGCTTTAGAAAAAACACCAGTGTGGATAACGCCTGAGGCAATGTCTTTCATCAAACCATGTAGAAGCCTCCCACACTGGTAGAACAGGAATGTGGACAAAACTTCTGGGAAATAGAAAAGCAGGAATGGTACTGTTTTGGGAAGTTAACGAGTTGTAAATTCTGCAGTCTTCACATTTCATTAAGAAAAATCATATACATAACAAGTCATACATACCAAAAATGTATAGCAGAAACAAAAGTACTGTCCATAAGCATTTGATAACTGATTGCTTTAAATCATGTTTGCTTTCCACCAGCTTAAACATATTTTTAAGGAGTATGCCATAATATCCCACCACGGTAATACCCCTCTGCAACTTCATACCACTTTTCTCTCAAACTGAGACCAAAGACCTCAGTTTAAAAAAAAACAACAAATTTAGGGTACTAGAAAGCAGCATCTGCATAAGATACACCTCAGTGCAGTGTATATACAGAACTTAGGCAGACAAGGTTCTTTTGGCAAATGATATCTTTTATTAGACCAACTCAAATAGTTGGAAAAATTCTTCTTTGCAAGCTTTCGGGTACAAACACTCTTCAAGCAGCCTGATGAAGGGTATTTGTATCTGAAAGCTTGCAAACAAGAATTTCTCCAACTATTTGAGTTGGTCTAAAGACAAGGTTCTTTTGGTAAATTTGATATCTTTTATTAGACTAACATGGCTACAACCTATACCCCTGTATACAGTACATACACTTTTACTAAACCAAATTACCCAGGTAAGCAGTTTCCTCTAAGTCAACAGAACTGCTTGCAGAATTTGACTCACACACAGACCTAATATTAATGTGCCTTGGATTTCTTGGCTGCTTGTGTTCCTTTATGATAGTGAGAAATAATCTGAACTAGGATGAAGCAATTAATAAATTGGAAGAACAAGCCTGCCGACCAGATAAGTAAAAAGGTGTTGTTTCCTTTAAACTCCAGGAAGTAGGCAGGAGCCAGCCACAGTGCCTGTCCAATAAACCACAGAAGGAGAAGCAGTACACCCCGATGCCAGGACATCCCGATAACAGGCATGACGAGTGGCAGCAGGCACAAGTACCAAAGGAAATACTGGGATGTGCACACTTTGTTAAAACTCACAAAGATGCCAGTGTGCAGGAAGAAACAGAAGGCCAAGTCTTTGTAATAGACCAAGGACACCACTAGAAGCAAGAGCAGCTGTGGCAGAAAAGCGGCGAGACCGAGGGCAAAACTCCATTCGCTCTCTGCAGTCAGGTACAACATGTAGAAATAGGGGGAGAAGTTATGCCGAATATCCCTTCTGGTCAAGTGGTAGAGGTAGGCATGCTCCAGAAACTCCCAACCATACAGGAAGTAGCATGCAAGGCCCAAGGCAGCAAAGGTACCGCCAGCCACCGCCCCAAAAAGCAACACATCCGGGCTCAGCAGCCTGAAGAAAAGCTGCCCAAAGTAGTTCGCAAAGCCAGGCTTGGATGCATTCCATGGGACGGTCTCCATTGGCCCTCTGCCACAGCCCAGGTGCAGGGCGATGGGCAGGGCGTAAGTCACCGGGTAGATTTTCATGTGCACAGAAAGGCCATAAAACATGGCAGCTTTTGCGATGTCTCTTCTCTCCAAGTATAACACAGTGACCAGCACAAGTACGGTGACCAGGGACTCCGCGTTACCCCTGCTGGACACAGCCATGGGCAGCGGGTTGAGCAGCCAGAGGGCGCAGTAGCCGCAGGCGGCGCCAGGCTCCAGCCCCCGCAGGCGGAGGATGCGCTCCATCAGGCAGGCGGCCACCACGTCGCCGCTGACGAAGAGCAGCTTGCCACAGAGCTCTGAGAGCCAGATATTGGGGATGAGCAGCCAGGCCAGCAGCGGGGTGTAGCGGTAGGTGGCCCGGCGGTAGGGTGAGTGCCCCGTGGCCACGTGCCGGGCCGCGTCTGTGAACACCTGGTAGTCAACGTCCGTGTACTTCACCGCCAGGGCCTCGTCCTGGTACCTCCCGTAGACCACCAGCCCCAGGCGCAGCAGTGCCGCAACTCCCACCACCATTGCTCGCCAATGGCGCACTGCCATGGTGCTGCCTGAGCTGCACCTGCGGAGGGAGGGAAGCTGCTGAGTCCGGGCATAAGGGGCAGCTGCTCGCCCTTCAGAGCCAGCTGAAGTCCACGCAGGGCTGCCCTGCACCCACCACACTGCCACTGAGGGGGGCAGGGGGCGGCACATGCGCACACGGACAGGGAGAGGCGGTGACGTAGCCGCGGTGGCGCGAACGTTCGGAGCAGCTGCCCGGTGAGGGGGCGGGGGAAGAGAGGCCGGTACCTGCGTGGAGGGGCCAGCGGCCGCTTCCGCGATCGTTGCGTCACAGGGGGGCGCGGCCTTGCCGCGCGCGCGCGCGCCGTGGTACTGCGCATGCGCCCGGATTCATCGGCTCTTCACCTCCTTCCGCCCCTTGCCTGGTAAAGTTCCAGGCGCGCTTCTCGGCAGTTGGCGGGGGCTCTCCTTGCGCGGGCGGCTGCCGCTTTTCCACGTCATTAAACGTCACACAGTCATGACATCCATTAAAACGTAATTAAAGGTACCAAAAATAAAATAAAAGGAAATAAAGGCAAAAACCACACAAACAAGCAAAAAGTCCGGCTTTCCCTGTGGTCCCATGTATTGGGGCTGTCTGTTTGGGGAGCCTGGGTAGAGCCCTAACTTGGAGGCCCTGGGCAGGCATTACACGTATGGCACACTTCCCTGGTGGAGGGTGCCATCCATGTGATGGGGGGGTGGTGCTGAGCCCTTACCACACCACTGACTGGCCAGTTGCACAATCACATTTTGAGGGGCCGCAGGCGAAAGGAAGGAGCAGGCTGTCAAAGTGCCTGTCTTGCTATAAAAGAGCCAGCCAGCTCTGAAGCCATTTTAAAATTATTATTATTAATATATTTCGTGTTCCCGGTTGAATCCAGCAAACCAGTTTCAAATCCCATGAAGCAAGCAGAATGGAGTCATTCCAAAAACCGTATGGGTTGAGCAGGCCGAACTCAATCGTTCGAAACGCTGCGAAACACGGCACCACCGCCGGCAGGCAGCCTCCGTCCCAGCCGCTCACCCTGGGACTTAAGATACTCTCAGATCCATTGGCAGGCATCCATGCAGGCCCAAGCCTGGAGGTCTTGGGATTCGGATGTCCCCAGTTAATCTATGCCCATAAGAGACATTAACTATACAGGATTAGGCTGGCCATGTTAAAGGACAGTCCGGTTGTCCTCTGCCCTCTATTGATACGAAACAGGACACCTTTATGTCCTCTATTTTTCTCTAGAAAATAGACATTTTCTCTTTATGTCCTCTATTTTTCTCTTGAAGAGAAAAATAGGGCACATAAAGGTGTCTGGTTTTGTATCAATAGAGGACAGAGTACCAGAAAACCAGAATGTCCTCTATGATGGTCACTTTATGCATGATAGTAGTCCAAAGCCAGTGCTTGGAAAGTTGTGACAGCCCCACAGCTGGTTTCCATCCCTGGGGTCCAGCAGGACAGGCTGCTTCGCTCCCTGGTCTCGTACTGCTGAAACTCATCGCCACTGGAGAGGAGGTGGAGGCAAATAGTGCAGCTGGGTTTGCAAAGGGCCTGGATAAATTTATAGTGATCTATACATTAATGGTTGTTGAACAGAACGGTTGGAGATGTTTCCTCCGGCATCTCTAACTCAATACATAGTGGATGCCAGGGAAGAGGGGATGGATCATATCCATACAATGATCTCTCTGGATAGTGTCCACTTCGGGCTATTTGACCATAGGGTTAACAGGGTCTCAACACCCATGGAGCAAAGGTTAGACTCCCCCTGTTATTAGGGATTATTAGATATATGTCACTCGATTTTGGGGGACAACTGAAGAGGAAACAGGGACAGGAATGAAGTCACCGGTTGAAAACGAGTGCACCAAATGGTGTGTACTTTGGATACTGGGTTAGATGGACAATTGGTGTGACCCGATATGGCACTTATTGGGTGTGTCCAGACAAGCGCAGATGTGCAGTATGTAGTACTGCAGAACCACCTGCAGCTTCACACACCGCACATGTAGGTGTTCCCCGCAAGGCTACTTTGCAGTGTAGGGTTTTTTTTGACCCTGAGAGAACCCAGGATCAAAAAAACCCCATGCTAGAAAAAAGCAGGGAGGCACACATGGTGGCAGTGTATGCCACACAAAACCAGAGTCTGGCTGGCTGGGACCACACTCCGTCTGGTGGACAGGTTTCCTGCTGCAGGAGCACCCTGGCTGCAGCTCCCAGGGCCATCACAGTTGCTGGCTCCAGGTTCCCCTACCCCACCCAGGGTAATCTGCTGCATGCTAGAGCATGTGTGGCATGGACATTCGCCAGGGCTAAGTAACAGCAGCACAAGGTGTGCCACTGCTACTTGTCCCTAGGGAAACAAGCCTTTCTGCTCATCTGGATGTGCCCCTTATATTCTTATGCAGGGGATGTAGTTAGTCATGTTAGTCTGAAGTCAAATAGAAAACAGGGGAGATTTGCTCCTTCTGGACTAAGCAAAGTAGATGAACTGAGCATCAATTCACAAAAGCTTGTGCTAGATGTGTGCACATATTTTACACATGCACACGCATTTGCATGTATATATGTATGTGTACATATATCTACTTTGCTTAGTCTAGAAGGTGCAAATCTACCCTAGTTCCATCTTTTATTGGACCAACTGTGTGCTGGGAAGAGCTGTTGGATGAGCTTTTGGGCATCTGGTGTCTTCCCTCAGGCCTCAAAGGCTTGTGAGGGCAATGGCCCCAGTTACCTGGCAAAATCTGATCCCATAACACTAAGTTTTTCTGCATTAATACATATTTTTCTTCTTAATTTGGGTCTCGGTTGCACACTGACTACCGTGCTTGGGCCTTGGCAGCTTCAGAAGTGTAGATCCCACCCTTTGTGCTGTGTTTGGGATTAGAACTGGGTGATTTTTTCCTTTTTAACAAAGAGTTTGTTCTTCAAAACGGTGGTGTTGGTTGGCCCCAAGCTCATTATGGGTTTATGCTGAGTTCTCAAAATAGTTTCAACTGAGGGGAAAAGGTCAAAAAACCAAACCAAACCCGGGCGAGGAGCAAGGCTAAATTTACAAAACTGTTAGAGAAAGGCTCCCATTTTATCTAAAAACTCTATGATTTGAGGGGGGGGGTTGTACTTACCAGAGTGTAGGGGCCAGGTTCAATTGACTCTTTTGCACGGAGGGTATTTGAATGTATGTCTCTTGACTATCAGGAAAGTAGCGCTAGGCAGTAGGGTATTCTGTAGGGTATGGTTGTGTGCTTAGATGTGGGGGTGCATGCTCTCAAGCTCCTGTTGCTGTTCGACTTTGCTTAAATGGATAGTCAGGAATCAGAGTTCTACCTCTCAGGGAGTGTCCTAACCAGGAAGCTAGACCAGTGGTCTCCAAAGTGGGGTGCGCACACTCCAGGGGGTTTGCAAGACAATTCATTCGGATGCGGGAAGTAAATATTAGAACTTCTATTTATATTTATTTTTTATCTAAAAAAATAAGAAAGAAATTAAGCTTTACTAATATTTAATATACAGATTGACACTGGTGCCCTCACTCGGTCTGTATGTCAGACGGTCATGTGTCACGTACGGTATGCGAGGTTTCCTGAGGGAACACTGGGAGTTCCACATATATTGGGGGGGTGTACTCAAAAATTTTTTACTTATAGGGCTGTGCAATCAAAAAAGTTTGGAGACTACTGAGCTAGACAGCCAATTTTTCTTTCTCTGCCTCTGGCTCAATGAATATTTAAATATTTTGTGCAAAGTGGAATAGCTCCAACAGGAAGCAAGAAGAGAACTCCATTTCCTAATAATGTCTAGCTTGGGAGTCCTGGTCCCTGTTCCACTAATTGTACAAGTATTTATGACTGCTAATGCTTGGCTTATTTTATTTCAGCCACTGATTCATAAAACAGCAAACTTAAGGGGGTTAATATCTAAAGAAATGGTTATAAAATCAGAGAGCCCAGAGGCAATGGATGATTGGGCACCTATTATTCTGGAGGTGGTGTTGGGCTGTCATAGATGTTGTAGCATATTTTGCTTCTCACCTGAAGCTTCTATTCATTCATTTATATATCAATATTTGGACATGCATGCTTAATTCTCAGTTATATAACATTTCTCTTCAATAATATTCTATGTGTGTTGCTACGTGATGCAGGTCACATGACATTTAACATTCCAGACACAGGATCTAGTTGGAGGCATTAATTAATAGCACACAGATCTTGAAGCATTCCTTCCTAGTCCCATATGGATACCTTGCTATGGACTATAGCTTGCTATGTAGGGCTGGGAAATGGGAGATATGATTTCAAACCCATTTGGCAGAGGAGGGGACTCCCTCTCCCTTATACTGGTTAAATACCCTAACTACCAGACTACTGGAAAAAAGAGAGACCAACTCCTCCCCTGGTGGTTTTATGTACTTAAACAAGTCATTTCATTTGCTTTTATTATTAATGTCTGACAAGAAAATGTTTTGTTTGGGACGTTTTGTTCAAGGCCAAATGAAATTTCATTCTGGTGAGAAAAGAAAGACAAACAGACAAACAATATATTCTCAGTGTTAGTTTGAATCTGAACCAGTTTTTTCACACATCCATATTTGTTATTTTCTTCTGTGTATTCTAAAATCAGTATAATACACCATGAAGTAGTCTTTTAGGTGGATTACCTATCCATCCCATGAGTGTGTGTGCATAATGTTTGGAGGAGGCATTGTGGAGATGTCCAAGATGGGAGTGAAGAGGCACTCTTTAAAAATTGCCTTCTCTAATACATATAAATTTCACTTGGACTTCTCTTATTTCTTGTCAGCTGAAGATCAATTTCTAACAGATATGCTATATCTACCAAATGCTACTGCCTCCCACCTCAAATTAAAATGGAAATGATTGGCACAGCAAGCTATACAAGTATTTCTTCAGTGTAAAAAACACAGACATCTCTTATTTTTAAAGATGGATAAAGAATACTTCCCAGGATATGTCTTTGTATCATATTTATAGTATTCTTTTGTTCAGAGGCTTGTCCAAGGTCACAAAAATCC